AGTTCAATCTTTTCATCCATCCCATAGGAATCTTCTGCCAGTTCACTGGCAAAGAAGGGTGGAGGGTTGGCCTTGGCGAGAGCCTCATCGGGATTTGACTCTTGGAAAGTGGTAAGCGGATCAGATCTGTTGCAGAATCAGGACGGAGCTGGTGCAGTGACAAATGACCCGCTTTCTCCGCGTGCGGACAGGGCTCAAATCTTCCGGATCGGTCTTTGCAATTCTAACATTTTCCCTCTAGTATCACCCAATATCACGGATGGTTCCTATATTCCTTTGGCCCGGAAAACACCGAGCTTCGGTTTATTCCAGTTATATAAAGAGCGCAATCTCGGAGTTTTGTTACCCAGCTCAAGGCGAGTTCCTTCCATGTGATCCCTCCTGGCCTGTTCATACGGAGCGATCTATGAGACTCGCAGAGCCACCTGTCCTCTCGAACCCATTTTTTTTCTTGATAACCCTTCAGTTGAGCCAGACACTATTGTAGTTATTTAAGTTTAAAAGGATTGTATTATACAAATTCGACTTTGTTCAATTTCAGGGTGTTCGACTTGAAGATGTGGTGGTGCAGCGGAAAAGCACAGTGTCCGCTCTCGCATGGCATCCTTCTGAAATGCTCGTCGCCATTGCTTGGACCGATGGATTACTGGCTATTCTGTCACCTGAGGCTAGCATAGGTAGGCTTATTCAGTTGGACCTGCTCACGGTACAGATACTGGTGATTTCATCACCTTTGAGGAATAAGTTGCGGAAAAATGGGGAATCCAGCTTTGGACGGGTTAGCGGTTCTCTCCTCGGACTGCAATTTTTGAAGTCATTCTCTGTGATAACAGAATGCTGGTGAGGGGTTCACATATAACACAGTTCGGACTAGAGGCCTATCAGTGGAGGAAACGACCGTTTGAAACTCGTCTCCCCATTGCAGCTTTAAGCTTTCGTAAGGTTGAACAGGATTTTTTTCCTCCACTTTATGAGCGTATAAAGGAACGCTAAGGAACCAATCACGATGGGATGGTAAGTCAGAGATGCGACTAGACTTCGGACACCGTACGCCAGCGTTGTTCGCATGAGTTCGGGGCGGCGACGGGCTATGGGCGGATTCGGAACAGTGACAGTCTCTTTAGTACTTACCAGGCACCGCAAACTTACTACAGCCTCTGCGCCTATGAATCGAAATGCGAACGTGCCTTTGAGCCGTTGAAATTCGTTTTTAGAATCCGAATTTTTTTGAAATTTAAGAATTCAACGTGGATGAGGAGCTGAAAAGTGTTGTGAAATTCCTTGCAATGGAGCGCCGACGGAAGTTCCCTTTGGGCCGTTATGGAGGTAGAACTTCTTTGTAATTTGATCATGAGTGGTTTGAAAACACTGTAAATTCAAAATAGGACCATTTTTAGGATGGGAAGTGTATAGTGTACAAATTGGTCAGTAAAAGTTCCACAGAAAAATGCGGCGAATGCAATGTAGGTGACAAGCCGACGGCAGCCTGCAAACGAGTGAAAGCGTGAGTTGGTCTTTTAGGCAGTTATAGGAGTCCATCCAAGAAACTATCTGTTTTCTTTACGAAGGGGTACGCCAAGGAAAGGGCTGGATCTGGGATCTGGGCAGTGGGTAGACAAACGTCCGCAGTTCCAGATTCTTTCGTGAATGTAGGTGTGTCCTGGAAAATGATGGGAAGCATTTATATTTAAGTCTCGATTATTAGATGAATCCTTTCGGTGTGTTGGTGGAGCGCGCGCATTCTACGTCCGTTTTCAGATCGTAGGCTCAATTGAAATGTGACACGTGGTATACAATGACTTGCGGGGTCGAACCTATCTTATAAGTACTAGGTAAGAAGCTATCTCAACTTTCATCCCAAAGAAACCATAATCAGTGCGGAAAACGTTTTTCGGCAACGGGGACGGCAACGGGGGAAGCCATTTTGCCAACTTTTGGCTACTTCCTCATCGACAAACTGGAAAGCTGTGCCATAACGCTTACAACAAGTTGCAATTTTACCATTGCTGCGTTCGAAGCGCACTTGGTCCAGGCTTCCCATTACACGGTTTCAGAGTGTGAGACTTTTAAATCGAAGCAACAGAAGCTTGGCAGCAAGTGATCCAAAATGCCCCCGCCCTGACCGAAATTGCGCTTCTGTATTTCGTCATGCCTACATCCAATGCGTGTACCTTGATTGACTCATAATGACCTTTGTTCGACAGTGTTTCAACGGTATCATCTTCCTTAGGTTCGTTCAGGACACAACAAGGACAAATTGCCGGGCAGGATGGTCGAGCCTTGAATGAAGCGACATCAACAAATGATGTGGTCAGCTTTAGCTCGTTTGATTTTATACCGAGAGGACATTAAGATGAAACTGAGCAGATGTAATGATAAACTATTTTCAGTCTAGATGACATGGGTCCAAGTATCAACTTCGATTACGTCATCGATGGTCATTGGTACCGAAGGAGGTGTGATACATGTAGTAGACAGAAATGCCAGTGCTATCAGACTGTGTCAGGTGATGTAAAGCTTTCATTCGGCCTATCGGGTAAGGTTCACAAGAAACTGTTTCATGACTAATCGCTGTAACTTTCATTCCTGAGGCTCAGTAGGGGGAGTAAGCGCGCAAGAAACGAGTTTTTCTCGAGCTCTTGCGACTTTTGGCAGCAATTTCATTATCCCTCTTTCGTACCATTCTCAACAAGTGGATCGGATGAGCAAAACAATCTTCGACCTTTTCTTCTCGCCCTGGGATGAATCGAGTTCTTTGTGCTGGAGCTAACTTGAACTTATCCAAAACCAACACTTTTCACGAGAATCGGGCCAACCAGGGGCATGTTGCGGGGTGGTTTTCTTGGAACTACTTCTGATATGCTCTTGACTATCACTGACGAGAGTTTTTCTGTTCAGCTTGACTATCGAATTGATTTTCTCGCTTACTATGATCCGAAAGCGCTACTGATCGCATTAACAAGTGATATGATGCTCTACCACCTGACAATTATGCCAGACTCAGCTACCGTTGAGAAATTAAAGGTACGAAATTTTATGTTCCCACCATTATTTGAAATCAAGGCGCTATGTGCCCCGGGAGGGACCAGTGTGCAATTCTGTGTCGGCGCCTCGTGGCCTGCGTGGAAGTCGGGGCACGCTGTACGTTGGAATTCCCAGCGAGAGGTACCGTTTTCAGTCGTTGGAGAAGAGGTTATTCGCCGTCGAGAAAGATGCTTTCGGTTGGCCATTTGTAAATCCCGGTATCTCTATTTCACATGAACGCTATACTCCTCTCCCTTCCACCCCAGGTTTCCTGGGAGAAAAAGTGGAGCAATTTTGGAAAAAAAGTGGTACGAACTGGGAGAATTCAGGAAGATGGTAGGTAGGATGGAGAATGGCGAAGAATCTTGGGCCAGATGAGGGCCTTGCGAGGCAAGTGCTATTGCAAAAATTTCTCCAACGGGAGGACGTGGTCCGTTAGCAAGTGAGCCACATAGGATATCTCACATTTCACAAATGATAAGCGGGTTACCCACCCAAAAAATCACCTTCCTCTTGGAAGTTGAATATCAAGGCAGCGCTAACTGACTGGCTCGTCCCAAGGCATAAAGCGCCGAAATTAGCTTCACAGGGGTGTTAGTAATGTATCGTGATTTTAGGTAAAGCTGAATGGCAAAGGGAGCCCATCGATTCTACTTAGGGAGAATCTCCTACTCATATGCCACCAAGAAAAAGATCTAAGGGTGTGGGATCTTGAAACGGAGGAGAATGGCACAATTTCATTACAGCCATCCAAAGGATTTGAGGCAGACGATATCATCCTTTGTGTGGATTACTCTAAACGTAAAGGTGAGCTCACAAAATATTAACTCAACAGGTCGGTAAGCGTCGATAACCAATAGTCAACCTAGTACGGTTTGGTGGGACACCAAATGGTAGTAGCTGAAGTGGTTTACTTGTTAAATCCGCATCTTCGCAAGAGTTTACAAGAAATCAACATGGACCAGCAAAAGGAGCTAGGGAAGGAGCTTAGTTCCACCCCTCTCCATCCCTAAGCGGAATAGCGGCCTGATAAAATACTGCTTCTCACACCCGATAAAAAGGCTATCGATATTTTTATTGCCCACAAATCAGTGACTTAGGCTAGGTGTTACATTACGATTCTTTTGGATTGAATCTACTCTATGTTACCTGGACGTTCCCAACGTACTGCGTGAGTTTAGTGATACAAGACTTCTTCTCGGGGATTGAGTCCGCAGTATGAACAG